CTCAACACTTTTCTTTTATAATAAAAATCACAAATCTTCACCCGTTCGCGTCCGGCTTAAAACTGAAAACTATTCCCTCGGACCTTTTTGGTAAACATTCCGATAAGACACAGGGCCACCCATCTGGGTCAAATCACTCATCAAGATTCACTAATAGACCCGTCAAGTGGTTATCGCCCTAAATAGCGGATTCGATATGCAAGTGTAACGTCGCACCCTTGCAGTCAGATTATTAGTGTGAACGGACATAATGTCTCTTTTTTTGCGTCTAGGATACTTTTATCAGCGGTCGTAATTGCGATAAAATTCTTTAAATACAAAATATCATCGTCAATTCTCAAAATTAGCAATAACGTAAATATATATAAAATTGCATCTTGAACTGCTAAATTCACTCCGTACGCACTTTTTCTTCTTTTTGCCAACTTCTGAGAACTATTATGTACGTCAAAATATTGGTTAACCAACTCGATATCATTAGATACATCTTTATAGTAAGCATTTTAATAATTTTTTTTCCCACAAAATTTTATAACAGAAGCTGTCGTGTGAGACATCAATTTAGTAGCTGTTTTGACCTTTTGGCGTTGGGAACCCTTAACATCTAAAAGATGTCTATTTAATTAATGAGCAGTTGTCAGTCCAGTATTGACAGATTTTTCCAAAACCTTTTCAATACAATCTTTTGACAGAACTTTGTCATGTAAGGCGAAACGATCATCTAAAAAGTGGTTCGTCAACAGTTTTAACAAATGTGGCACATCCGTAAAAACAAAATTTAATTTACTTTCATCAGGGATACGTGAAAGTATTTCTGGATGTGTCAATTCCTAGGTCCTATTATAGCCGCTGGTTTGTGGAGCCCATTTCACTGACCACAGTGGCAACAATGTAATTACTATTGTGTAAAGATGCAATTGCATCTTCAAGTATGTTTTTTGTTATCACTTGATCGACGTCGTAATATATTGGTTGTTTCCAATTGGAGCATAATCCCCGAGCAGTCATCACCTGAACCGTGGTGATGTCACATAAGATGCGCGTATTCATACCTAATGTGTTTGTCCCATGGTGGCTATTTCTTTGGGGTACGCTAGGTCGAAATTGTGTGGATATTAAGTACGGTTGATATGGAGTTTGTGGATGCTAAATTCCAGCAATCACCATGATAACACACCTGCTCTTAACATCTATTGTCTTATCAGCACTAACCCTTATAGATATAGATATCTGGGAAAGTTATTTTGTATTTTATTAATCGTTTTGTTGTAATAGGTTGCAACGTATTGTAAGGGTTAGATTTGTAGTACGTGTCGTTGACCCGTAGGCAGGCAACCCATAATACGCGATGTAAGGGTTAGACCTGTTATGTCGTTGACCTGTAGGTAGGCAACCGATAATTGAGGGAGAATCTGGGTAAGCCAACAGGGTGGGGGTGACGCTACGGGTGAGCAAGGGGATTTTAGGGGAGTTCGCGGGTAGGAATCACCGAGGGTAGTACGTAGAGTGCGTAGAGATAGGAGAGTTAATTAAGTGTATTAGTGATTAGGGTGTATGTGTGAAGTAAAAGAATAAAGTGTAGTTAGCGTAATCTGTGTGTGTGATTTAATAAAGCGTGTGTTTTTACATATCAGAAGTGGGATATTTCTTGTTTGCGTGCGCGTTGAACAGGAAAAGTGAAGTCATGCTCAACAATGTTTTGAACGAGAAGTTCGAGCAATTTGTGGCCGGACAGCGGTGGGAAGGCAACCAGAGCGGTGAGGGAAGAGGTCTTACACCCACGAGCATTGTGAGTGAAGACCAAGAATTGGGCGAGAGGGGCCCAAAGGGAAGAATCCCAGAGGACGCCGCGGCTTCTAAAATGGCCACCGAGAGGACGCCAACATGCATCAACGCCATGAGTACCGCTGTACCGACAACAACTTCGGCGCATGCGTCCCAACCCGTTACCTCCAACATCACCAACTTGTTCCAGCAAAGTGTCCCAGGCTCGTACGGCGCAGGTGTGACTGAGCCGGAGCCAATAGGGAGCCAGCTTGGGAATGGACGCGACAGGAATGGCAGCTTTGGCGTTTTAGGTTATGGGGGCCTTGTTGACACTCCTTGGGAAAATCCGCCGCGAACGAGTAGGTACATAAACGATCAGCCAGTCCCGCAAAACCCTTCAGATATCCAGTCGACAGGATTAATGCAGTATATCCTTGAGCAGAACCGGAAGTTGATGGATCTAGTCGAGCGCAGCACAGCTGCTGGAGAGCAGGGCAGCACCAGAGGAAATAGTGGTGGGCTGCCGAACTACCAGGTCATGCCGGATTTTTCTAAGTCAGTGGAAAAATTCGACGGGGAAGACTTGAGTCGTAGTGGTCCTTGGCTGAAGAAAATAAGTGCAACGGCGAGGCTGCACCATTGGCCGTCGGAATTCACGTTCGAAACTGCGCGAACACAGCTGGTTGGCCCCGCTCGTCTATGGTACGAGTCGAAACGAGAAAGGATACGGAGTTGGGAGGAGTTTGAACTGGCCTTCAGGAGTACATTTGTAAGGGAGCATAGCCAAACCCAGTTGTGGAAAGCGATGTCAAGTCGGGTACAGAGTGCACAAGAGAGCACAAATCTTTATTTTCACGACAAGGTCAGGTTGTGTTCAGCCCTGAAATTGTCATTTACGGAGACAAAGGAGCAGCTAGCGGTGGACCTGCTTTCAAAAGAATTGGCGACAATGTTGATGTCAAAGACCCACACAGATGAGGATGACCTCTTTAGAGACTTCATTGTGTATGAGAGATTAGTGGCGGAAAGACGGGCCAGACATAAAGTAGACAGATTCGTACCACTAAAACCTTCTACCCCATCAACGATGTTGTCCCCCATCAAAACGGAGAAGAGATGGTTGCCGGGACGTGATAACGCGGGCCGGCCTCTCTGCTTTAGATGCCGGGAGTATGGCCACATTGCGGCAGCATGTCAGAGTAAGAGGCACCCTGAAACCTGTGAGAGTAGACCTGAGCAAACAAGAGCCACCGAGCCGAAAAAGCGGGTTCACAGGGTTGAAAAAAGCCTGACAAGTCGAGATACAGTGGCCCGAACCTTTCTAATCAACGATAGAGACTTTGTGACGGGATTGGTGGATACCGGGAGTGCGGTGTGTACAGTTAAACGAAGTGTGACCGAGAAGTGTGGATTAAAACCTGTGAAGTTCCGACAAAATCTATACGCGTTTGGCAGTGTTACGACGCCAGCTCTGACGGTTGAGGGTAGAGTAAAAGTGCGTCTAGCTGTGGATGAAGTTACGGTCAATGACATCGAGTTACTAGTGGTGCCGAACGATTCACAGGACTGTGATTTATTAGTGGGGCGACCGTTTACTGAGAGAAAAGAAATCGCGTACATGAGAAAGGGTGATTGGATCGCGTTTGGATACTCCTGTGAAGCACCCTTCAAGAACATCGACGTAGAAGCCTTGGTGCGAGAACCAGGACTGGAAACTTACGAATTGGCCAAGGGAGTGACAGTGGCGCCTCACGAGTCGAAGATGGTACCAGTGAAAAAGAGAGCAAACAACTACCTGTTGAGAGTTTACAACCTGACCTCCGAGGAATTCGAAAAACAGTCAGGTGAGGCCATAAACGAGGACGAAGTAGTGGGTGATGTTAATGCGTTCGTCCCGTGCACTCGAATTACTGCCTCCATGGTAAAAATGGGCGAAGGAATGGCGGAAACTATGCAACGAAAATTACTGGAGCGACAGAATGAGATTGGGCAGAATTTAGAAGAGGGCAACCAGCAGGTCGATCAACAATTTGATGAGACGGTTGAGATACATCAGGAAACAATAGGGGAGGTCGATCAGTTGATGAAAAACGTCAGTCAGCAAATGGGAAAGAACAATTTGAGAAGAATGCGAGTCGAGGATTGTGTGTTGAGTAAAATGGAAACGACATCGAGAACAGTGGTGTCGGAATTACCGGGCTTGTTTCGACGAGTTAAGTTCAATATGCTCTGCAAAGAAAGAAGCGTGAGGATAGTTTACACTTCAACCACGAGGAAACAGACGGGGAAGAAGACGAAGAAGAAGAGAATGAAAGTGCGGGAGTGCTGGGAAAAGCAGAGTATACGAGTGAGAAAAGTGACGAAAGTGAAACAATACAAGAGAGTGGGCCAGTTGAATAAAGCAAGGCAAAGCCGTTGTGGAGCCCAATTGTTGTTCTACTTGACTTTTGAGTGTAGTAAATTTAGCGTAACAAATTTGTAGATTGGGGTTGTGGAACTCAATATTTGTAGATAATTGCGTGTAGTTAGACTAAATTTAAATTAGTTGATTTTTTTTTAGAGTGCGAAGGAGTTTGTGGTTGTGGAGTTAGATATATTTTTTTTTGTTTTTGTGGATGGATTGTAGGCAGATATGAGTGTTTGTGCTTAATATTTTCTTTAATGTTTTTTTTTGTTATTTGTTTTGTTTCTCCTTGATAATTGTATCGAGGACGATTCAAGGTCAGGATGGTCGAATGTAAGGGTTAGATTTGTAGTACGTGTCGTTGACCCGTAGGCAGGCAACCCATAATACGCGATGTAAGGGTTAGACCTGTTATGTCGTTGACCTGTAGGCAGGCAACCCATAATACGCAATGTAAGGGTTAGACCTGTTATGTCGTTGACCTGTAGGTAGGCAACCGATAATTGAGGGAGAATCTGGGTAAGCCAACAGGGTGGGGGTGACGCTACTGGTGAGCAAGGGGATTTTAGGGGAGTTCGCGGGTAGGAACCACCGAGGGTAGTACGTAGAGTGCGTAGAGATAGGAGAGTTAATTAAGTGTATTAGTGATTAGGGTGTATGTGTGAAGTAAAAGAATAAAATATAGTTAGCGTAATCTGTGTGTGTGATTTAATAAAGCGTGTGTTTTTACGTATTGTTTCCTTATGGTAGACTGGTCTACCTGGTAAGTCTCATCCCGTTTATTTTTTTGTAATCTGTTTAAAGGCAGGATGGTTCAATTTTGTTACAGGTATGTTGTCTGAAATAAATGCCACGCAGATATCGTCATAGAAATCGGCTTTGGGTTGTCCTACAACGTTGGCAGTATGTTTTTGAGTTCGTATGTGCCTTCACAGACATGCTTTCTTTCGAAACTGTAGATAACTGAACCAAAATTAAAAACAGTATTTTTTTAACAAACTTTATTATTAAATTACTCCTTGCAATTCACTTATAACTAATGCTAAAAATGTGAAACTATAAATGAACTTATGCAGGTAGAAATCAAAATAAAATTTATAATTCTAAAACGAGACAGAAACAAATAAATAAATAAAACGTAAAACCTAGAAATTAAAAGACAATAATTTTAACACGAAAAACAAAGAGCTAAATGAAGTTCTGGCAAATAAAATTTAAAAGTTAGAAATCGAAATAAAATTAATAATACTAAAACGAAAAAGAAATAAATAAATGAAATTCTTTCAAATAAAATGAAAAAATGATATACTACTCTTTATGTCGACAATTAAAAAAATCTATTAAACTACGACTTTCACATGAGTCAATACATATAAGCATGCAAATTTAATGACGATTCTACAACAGATCAACATGCGTGTCCGTAAATGAACGTTGGGGATTCGCCCAGGGAGGATCTTTGATGCGCTCGGTGCTCGCGTTAGCTGGAAGTGGCGAGGCTCAAGTGCCCCCATTTCGAAATGGCGGCACACGATCGAGCGAGTGACATTTTATTCCGCGCCTGGGTCACCACTCATCAGTTCATCACATAGGGTGTAACAGATACCGTACAATAACAAAACATAAATCTTCCATTCTTGTTCAATATAAATAATCACAGAAATTAAAAAAATGTATGTCTATGATTGCCGATTTTGAGCACCTGAAGGGTACGGGCCTATCCACGACCGCAGCTTAACCCACTCTTCGGAATTTTGTTTTACATTTAAAGCTGATTTTCTATGGTTAACGTCTTTTAAGTTTTTGAAAACATTTTTGCAACAAATTTTCAATGCATAATCTTCCACCTGTAGATCACATGATTCCAAAAACTGTGATTGCTGAATATTTGCAACAATTTTGTCATAAGATGTACTGTTTTCATTTTTCCTAAAACAAATAAACAAAAATCAGCAAACGGAACAGTCAGTGGGTGCAGTTTTTTAAATCAACAATTGCAATAGCTTGATAGTGCCCTAGTAAAGAGTTATACTATACAACCTGACTGCACCATCTGTAGATTTATTATAGAAGTGCCTGATTGTCCTATTTCAAATTTTTTAGCCCTTGCTTTAAAAAGTTGAAGTGCACTTCCATGAACTGCTGAAAAATTAAGCGAAAATAGTTATCAACATTTTCCGTTCATTATCACCATTTAATAATATGTTTAAATTTGCTTCCTCCAATTCTAAATTAGTGCCCAATTCGTTCTTTCACTTTTATTTTCTGGGTGACAAAATTCAGTGAGTTTAGTGCCCTCATGCATGAACCGTACAGCTTCTTTTTCTTTGCCCCACTGCTAAGGTTGGTCTGTACAACTTTGAAGTTCTAGGGTTCCGAATCTAAAAAAAAATGTTTTTAAACTATAGAACATTAAGTAACACAATGGTGTATTGCTAATCTACTTGCTCACCGATTAATGTAGATCAACGTGGCAACAACCAGACTGCCGGGCTTTACAGCTGCAAACACAGTGCCATTGTTGCGGATCTTCAGCCAAATTCAAGCTCATGAGGTGGTGATGTTAATCCCGACGTTTTTAAAATTAGGGCACATACCTTCATTTTTTGATTCGTTTTTAGTTGGCACAGAATTACATGTCTAGCCTTGAATACATTTTCCCCTTCTATGATTGGTCTTTGTCGAGAATTAATATAGCTGAGAATGTCTGATAATAATTCAACTGTAATCTGTGCCATCATATTCAACTCACAGATCTTATTAAACTTGAAAAATTATTATTATTATTATTATTTAAATTAAACATAACCTTACATTCCTGTCCTGACAGCCAGCTGACAGTTGGCTGCGCCATCTATTCTGTACTTTTTTCACGAATTGGTCACCTCGAAACTTCGTTGACATTTGCTGCACCTTGAAAGTGGGAGTATTGTGTTTGTAGAGCGCATGCGATTTCGACTATTTGGCAGCAATGTGACAATCTGCGTTAGAGGTGGGCTTAACGATATCACACCCGTATCGATACAACATCCATACAGAAAAATAAATATCGATTATATCTTGTAATCGATATTATTCGATGTTCTAAATAGCAAAGCTGAGATACTAAAACGTCCATATTTTTCTTTTTTATTTTATTTTAACTGTTACAAAATTAAAACATAACAAAGAAACAAATAAAACAAAAAACTAACTTTTTGGAACGAAAAATATTCATAAAACAGGTTACAAATTAAAATATAAAAAAAAGATTTCGTTAACACGCTCTGGTTTTAGTACCGAACGCCGGTTTGATAATACTTAATTCACCACTCTTGGAAAAAATTCGCTCGGCTGGTACAGATGTGGCAGCTCTTGCCAAAACTTTTCTAGCAATTCTCTTTAAGTTAGGAAACAATTTTCCTTCATCTCTCCACCATAACAAAGGACATTGGTGCCTTGCGATAACGCCTAAGTCTTCATATCTCTTCATATCAATATTTATATTATATTTTCATCACTCTTCTTGATAGAATCTAATAATAGGAACCAGGGGTGCGATTTTGTTTCTCGACCGAAAAAAACCCGTTAGCGATAAAATCTCGTTTGCTGATTGGTTGAGATGCTACATTTCTGTCACATTTCTCGATTCTGTCACGAAATCAAGTCTTCGTGCAGCGATCTTTTATCGATAGCTCTGAGTAAAGTGAAAAATTTTGGAGACATAACCTCGAAATTTATGTCAAAATAGAAGATCAAAATCGTAATTCTGAGTTATAAGTTCTTAAAATTAAGGTAATTGTAAACTTTTGAGCATTTAATAAGCTTATATGCAAAGAATAAATGCAAACTTTTGCATTTAAAACCTACGTAATGACATTTATTTTATCGCTTCGATCGAGAAACAAAATCGCACCCCAGGTATGATTTAAATTTGCCAAGGGGATGTTATCCAAAACATTTTCCACGTTGTTTTCTAATAAATTTACGAATGTTCACCATTTAAACGGTTGGGAATGACAAATGGTCCAATTAAGTTGGTGCCCAAAATACCGGCCCACACTTACCTGAAAATATGGGGATTTTGCAACGTGTAAAAGTTGCCTCGTTAGTCCACATCATTTTGGAGGTAAACTTTGGGTTTTGATAATCAATTAAAATAATTTATCCGTCTTTCATAATATCCAGGAACTAAGGTTTGAACCTTGTAATGGTACGGACGAAGCCTCTCGCTTCTAGTAATTTCATTTACTGTGCTTGAATGTATCCCCAACTCTCTGCTAATATCCCGAGCACTTCTTGTCGGATCGTCGGCGATAAGATCTAAGACTTCTTCCTCTAACTGCGGAGTACGCGTGGTCCTAAAACAGGGCTCAAAGTGATTCTGAGTTTTAAAATTCCCTGACTTTTCCAGGTTTTCCCTGACCATTTACGTCTCATTTCCAGATAAAAAAAAAAAATGAAAATTGTTGAAAATAAAAGATATTTATTTCATTATATAAAACAAATTAAAAAAATATGAGTATAAAAAGCAAAACAAAAAAAACATTCTAGAGGTAACACAAATAAATTTTTTATTTTTCAAAACAACGGATAATACTTTTTAAATTTTCTTCCTTAATTCAGTCATCTCTACTTCAATTAATGACGTTTCGTATGCAGCTGCTTCTTCAATTTTTTTTTCTTTGCTTCCAAGTGAAACAGTTGTGACTTTGCCGCTTTTTTCTTTCTAATTTCTTCACTTTCTTTTTCTGAAACTACTTTTTGTTTGTCTAGAAAATCTTTATAGGCGCGATACGAGCTTTTGACGTAAGACCTCATTGATGAGTCAATTTTTATATTTAAAATGCCACCCGCCGCAGCTATACCATCATACACTTGTCTTTGTGCTACAAGTGAATGTTCTTTTAAATTCTCCACTATTATTTGTTTATTAGTAGAAAAACCTGACTCTACAGTTGCATTCCCATGAGAGAATATTAAAACAGTTTTGGTAACCTCCCACAATTCTTTAAAATCATTAGATGTGCCAATCTGTTCACAATAAAAGACATCAAGTTGTTTGAAATTTAAATTAAACTTTTTACATTTCTTTAAAAAGTTTGCATCCTCTACTAAATTGCCAAATTGCAACTCAGCCTGGTCTGCAGTGGGTCCGTTGATTAACTTTGCATCATAAAAACACTGCAGCCAGCTCTTCATTTTGCCTGTAGCGGACTTATTAACAATAACCTTTGGACTAAAACAAGAGACATATTCCACCATTGGATATTTCAAACTACATCTTTCAATAAGTTTTGATACAGTACCAATCAAAAAAATTTGACACTCTTTTAAAAATTGAAGTTTGTCTTTTTCTATAACTGTGGAATTTTTTAATAACGATTTTACGCGAAAACCGACATCAATTTTTGTTAACGATAGGAAAATACTTTTGTCGGAAAAGTTTAATTTCATCAGTTTACTTGTGCGTAACTTGCAAAATTCCTCTTTTACAAAACGTTTTAATAAATTTATTAGTAATGCCTCTAAGTCTTGGTACAAAAAGGGAATCATTGGCTTTGCCGTTTGGTACTTTATCAAAAACGGTTCAAGTACATTAGCAACCGTAGAAAAAAAGGCTAACTTCAATGGCAAAGTTACAACAGTTAAATTGTCTTTTATGTTTTTGATTGAGGTATTTTTTGGCAATCCTTTCTGATTTTTAACATATAATGAAATGGGCTCTAGTAATTCCAATGCCCTGTCAGCCACTTTAGAATTCTCGAGCCACCTTACGCTGCAAAATTTGAAGGGGAAGTTGGATATTCCAGTAAGGCTAGTGAAATCTCCTCTGCGAGCGGGAGAGTTGACAAATAAATAGTACATTCCGCGTAAAAATTTACGAATATTCCATTGGGCTCGTCGAACACCGTTTTGGAAGGCTCCATGCACAACATGGAGACCACAGGACCCCAAGTCCATAATATTAGTAAGTGATTCTTCCTCTTTCAGTGTTTCAAAAAACTTCCAATTAACATTAGGTCCGTCCATAAAAATCTATTAAAAAGTGTATAAATAATGTAAGTTTTTCTTTCAAACAATAAATACCTGCACAATGCTTTTTAAGTTGAAGTTTACTAAGCCCTCTTTAAATTTCTGTATCAAATCAGATGCTGTTGCATGATTTAAAAAGACTGAAGTTAAATATCTTGTCTGAACACAACAAGATTCTTCATTCCAAAACCTCAGGAGTAGGTCCATTTGACCCTTTTGGGCCACTTTATTTAAGGATTCGTCGAAGCAAACGACAAACCGTTGACATAATTTTAAAGTCGAATCTAATGTTTGCTTAAAATATGGCGCAAGACCATGGCATATAACATAAGACGATTTTGTTGTGCTTAAAGATAATTTGTTCGCAACAGCGCTGTCCTCAAACATTAATTTCATAACCCTTATATCTGTATATATGGAATTGATTGATTTATGTTGTGCAACAATATTCAAACACCAAAGAATTTCTGCGTCTGATACCTTTTCTTGCACTAAACAGCTTCGGAGACTTCCTGAGGTAGAAGCTGGAGTATTTTGCACCGTATTAGTTTGAGGTTCATCAGTTTTGAGTGAAGCATTTGCTTCACCATTTAAATTGCTAATTTTTGTATTTTTCTCTATCATAATTTTCTTTTTAACTTGTGAATCAGACTTTAAGTGACTATCTACGGCTCTTCGACCCATATTGCTCAGTGAAAAACATTTTAAGCAATATGAACAATATACTTTATTGTTGTCAGTCTTAACCGGTTTAATAACATTGCACAATCCTGGATTCAAGTCGGAGTTAATCCAGTCGTAATTAAAAGTACTTCGTTTTGTGTTATTTGGCATTTTTACTAAATTAATAAAATAAAAGTAAGGTTAGAAATCAAATTGGCGGTGAGAACAGGCTTACCTTTTTTTGTAGAGAAACAATAATAAATAAGCAAGAACTTAAAACTTAAATATAAACATTTTTATATTGCAATGTCACATCAGCACATTGCATTAAATTAGCCTTCGCCATCGAACAGTGGAATCTTATTGTGATTTCAGGGCGATCAACGAGAATGGAAGTGGCCAATCACTGAAAACGGAACCCAACGCGTCGACGAATAGCAATCTTCAACACTTGCTGCAGTTTAGGGAGTGCGAAATTTAAAAATTTTAACAGTGCATGCACACAAATCTTCAGTGCAAAATAAAACAAAAAAAAGTGATCAAAAAGGATATTATTAAAATTTTATTTTTATCTCATCTAAATTTATGACAAATTTCCTGACTTTTACCTGCCAATAGTCAATTCCCTTACTTTTCCAGACGTTTTACAAGATTCCCTGACTTTTCCAGGTTTTCCCTGTTTTTCAGGTCACTTTGAACCCTGTAAAACGAGCTCGATCGTGGACCTGCATTCCAACTGGAAGCAAGCTGTCTGTTTCCCGCAATCGTAGGTCGAGTCGCCTGATAGCATTTACTGTGAGATGTTTTCTTACCGGATACCGTTCGGCGTAAACTCGTGCGACAGCAGTGGCATTCCCCCCACATTCGTGAAACACTAATTACATGTCTGCGTACTCATAACTGCAAACATTTTACACTAGGTTTTTAAAAATTTTGTCATTTTTTGATGTCAAAATTTTTGCACCGCTTACTCGATTTTTGCTTGATATGTACCTTTGTTTTGCATCAGGCAAACATCGTTACCAAAATGGAATTTGATCAAATTATTACGAAAACAACTTATTCATATCTTTGTACCATGCACCCGAAATAGGCCGAGTTATTATTTTTTAGAGCGCCAATTAAAAAAAAAATAGGAGTATTAATTAATTCAAACTCACTTTCTTTTTGCAATTCCAGATTTTAACTTTGCTGCTGAATATTCTTTTGGTCTGTGGAAATTTTGAGATGTTGCAGTTCTGATTTATGGCCATAATGGATTTTTTGCCACTGAACAATTAGTTTGGCGTTTTCCTTGTTTTTAATTAACATAATCTGACTTGTACATGAATAATTCAACTTGCAAGAACCTTGACTCTTTTGTAAATGTCTTTGTTGTATTTTGATTGTTTTCCTACAAAGAACCACATAGATATCATAAAAAATAACAAGAGACATATACCTACATACCTTTTATGATGATACAATTGCATTTTTCCAATTTTCAAATTCTAAAATAAAATAATATTAGAAATTTATGAAACCATACTAATTTCATAGCACACTCACCACTCATATTTGAAAACACAAGTTCTTCTGGATTTGCAAAATGTAGCATATGCAGTTCTCTTAAATGTTTTATCAGATCACTTCCTTTCGGAAATGAGCAATTACATTTTGTGTCGTCGTCAACATTTAAAATTCCAAACTGATATATCGTATGACACATGTGTTGGTTCACGTTTGTGAAAGTCCTTTATGTGCCTGTTTAGATTCGATTGTTTGGAAAACACTTTTTCACACAAATTACACGTAACAGGCATCTTAATATGCAAGGAATTCTAAATTTGAAATTAGCGTTTTACCGCACAGGTAGGTACGATCATGTGCTAACCCAACAGGTATTCAAGTAAGACGTACCAATAGGCCCATAGAAAACCCTATTTTTTCCACGACTTGGAGGAATCTTCAGTATACACAATAATATTTATACACAATTTTATTTAATATTTACTTGAACCATCTGACTTAAACAGGTTTACTAAGTTCTCACACAAACCAAAAGCACTCAGTTTACTAAGAAGGATGGAATGATTTACAACATCAAAGGCTTCTGATAAGTCTGTATATAGTACATCAACTTGCTTACGATTATCTAATGCATGTGACTGAACATATTCACAAAGGTTAGTTGACGTTGATCTGCCCTTCATAAAACCGTGTTGACTATCGCTTATCTTACAAGCTATGTGACTAAAGAGACTTATAGCTAAGATAGACTCAAAAATAGGTCTTGTAACAAAGTTCGGTTCAAATGCTCCTTTTGGCACGCCCACACATCTGGCACCCCAGCCAGCTGTCTGTTTTCACCCGACAACACGAATGATAACCCTTGCGCCCTCTCGCGCATCCCTGCATTGCGCACCCCGCTAGTTGCCTGTTTTCATCCCGGCGACACGAACAATACTCATAACGCCCTCTAGCGCACCCACGCATCCAGAGGGGTCCCACCGGGTCGACGAGTCGCGTTTGTTTAGTGTCAAAAACTTTTCGTGTTCCAAGACTATTTTCGTGTTTTCGTGCTCAAGGACTATTTTCGCGTTTAAGGACTTTTCTTGTGTTTAAGGACTATTTTCATGTGCAACGACTTTTGTGTTTACGGATTATTCTGTGTGCGATAACTTGTTAACCCCTGAGATATTGTGTATATATTGTTATCAATAAAAGAGTTTCGGCTCACTGAACCAGCTACAGTGGCGTCCCGAACGTGAGGCTCGAATTAAGTTGTGCACATTAGTTCGCGAAGTGTTTTATCGGTTGACGAGTAACCGCGAATGCGCCCATTATCACATATAGGTAAGAAAGGGTTAAGAAGAAGTCCTCGACACACTATGGCCGTCCAATTCTCACGAGAGTAATTTGAGGCATTTATGGCCAGACTACCGACAGCAGCAGCACCCGTGCTAAACGTAGCACCAACAAATCACCGACGTAGCATCACCGCGTGTCCCGCACGCTACGACGGAAGTCGCAACAGGGACAAAGTGGAAGAATTTGTCACCTCAGCCACCATATTTCGCACAAGAGGGGATCAGCAACGAAGACGCCTTGGAAGGTCTTCCCCTCCTACTCACGGGAACGGCCCACACCTGGTGGAAAGGCGTCAAACTACAAATTAAAACATGGGATGAAGCCATGAAACGACTTCAGGAGGTTTTCGCTCCACGGAAAACCGGCTACAAGATCTACTTGGAGATCTTCGAAGAGAAGCAGGTCGCAAATATGTCCACAGACCTTTTTATTACTAGGAAACGGAGTCTGCTCTCACAAATCGAGCAGCCCCTCGAAGAAGCTGTACAGTTGGACGTTTTATTTTGAAAAACTTTGAATTTTGGATTTGAAATAGGTAGATTCTCTACTAAGAACCATAGATGAGTTTCTATTTCAGTTTTGTTCAAACTGAGGGTCTACGTCATTTTTAAAAGCACGTGACAGCATGTTTACCAATATTAGATCCTTACCTTTTTTGTATAGTAAGTTAAATGTATATGGTTGAAGCATTATGAGCATTTTTTGAAGTTTAGCTGGTGCTGTTGTTAATGGCTTATTGTAGATGCTTACCAGCGGCTTGTGGTCAGTTTCTATTGTCAGATTTCTCCTACCAAATATATACTGATGGAACTTTTTACATGCATGAACAATTGCTAAAAGTTCCTTCTCTATCTGCGCATAATTTTTCTGAGTCTTTGTAAATGCTTTTGATGCATACTCGATTCGACAATTGTTTTGTAATAATACTAAACCACAACCATCTTTGGATGAATCACAAGATATTACTACTGGTTCTTCAATTGAATAATACTGTAACACTGGACCCGAAATTAATTTTTGCTTTAATTCTAGAAACGATTTTTCTTGTGCTTCAGACCAAACAAAGTACGTATCCTTTCGAATTAATTGTCTTAACGGCTCTGATAGCTGTGAGAAATTTGGGATAAATCTCCTCAGGTATTTGAGTGATCCCAAAAACCTCTCCACATCTTTTTTATTTTCTGACTTTTTCATTTCCCTTATTGCTGATACTTTACTTTCGTCTATTTTTAGACCTTCCTTTGTTATTATGTGACCCATGTACTTGACATTATTTTGAGAGAATTTGCATTTCTTTAAATTAAACCTAATATTATTTGATCTGGCAATTTCTAATACTTTAATTAGTCTTTCATTATGTTCCCATAGATTTTTACCCCAAACAAGTATATCATCTATGTATATTTCAATACCTTCAACACCATCATACAATTGTCTTAATTTCTTCTGGAATACTTCGGGTGCATACGAATAAACCGATATCTCCCAAATGGAGTGTTAAATGTACATAATTTACTACTTTTCTCATCCAATTTCACTTGCCAGAACCCGTTTGAACAATCTACTACTGAAAAGTATTGCACATCTTTTAATTTGCTTACCACTTCATTTGGTGAAGGTATGTAGTAGTGTTCTCTTTTGATGGCTTTGTTTAGATCTCTCCGGTCAATACAAATACGAATATCTTTATTTGGTTTTGGTACTATAACGAGTTTACCCAATCAGTTGGTTCATTTTCCCTCGTTATGATGCCTTCCTTTTCCAGCTGTTCCAGTTTTCCTTTGAGCACGGTCATTAGTGGAAATGGAATTCGCCTTGGTGGATGAATTTTCGGCTCAACTCCTTCGCACAGTTCAATTTTGTATTCGCCAGACATACAGTCTATTCCCCTAAAAACATTAGAAAAATTATTAGTTATATCTTTTATTTCAAGTACGTGGCTATTTACATTGTTTATTGCTTGGTTACGTGTAACCAAGTTAAATTTATCACACAATCTTAAGCTCAACAATGGTTGCCTTTGTTTCATTATTTAAAACATTTCTTCGGATTCAACATCTGAACTAGCTAATTTTATTTTTATTTTACATGTTCCCAGGTATGGAATATCACAATCCTCTGCCCCAGTAATTTTTTTCTCTGGACGATTCATTTTTAAGCCTAATTTCGCAAAAATGTCTAGAGGATATACATTAACGTCTGCCCCTGTATCTAGTCTAAATTTTACTGTCAATTTGTTATTTAGAATAAATTCTTGGCACCACGGTTCTGCGCTTTCCTTATTCTGTATGTTATTAATGTATTAATACAATGCCTCGCTGTCCCTCTTCATGAAATCCTCTGATTAGGGGCAATTCTGAATCAAAGTTGTTAAATTTAAAGGATGTTAAATTGCAAATTTCCATAGTAACGCGTTAAATCCGTAAATCTGATTGGCTGTTTATTTTTTAACAACCTTTAAATTTTAACGGGTTTGATTCAGAATTGGGCCTATTGCAGGCCACAAAATACAAGTTTACTATTTCTGGATGATCCCCTTGAATTACAATTGCCTCTGATGAAATCACAACTGTGGCGTAATATTGACGACCAAACCATTGGACACTGTCATGATTTGACTCTCTTCACGACGTTCCTGCACCTCCAGTAGAGAATTTATCAATGCTTTTATCTCTGCAAAAAAAAGTATTTTTTTACTATTCTACAGGTTTTGCATGCATACCTTCTCCCATGTTAATAACGATAAACATAAACACGTTAATCTGCACTAGAGATGTGTCGTGATAAAAAAAAAAATTCTGATGGACACAATATTGAATAATATTGCCTTGGTTACAATATAACACACTAATATTTCCCAAGAGAAAAATGAATCGCTCATATTGTCCCAAGGGAAATATGAATCGTCATATTTCACTATACAAAAATGTCTTATTTTTTAACTAAAGCAACAAAAATTATAACAATAACTTATGAACTAACAAAGTTGTTGCATTTGTAACGCTACTTTTCAGAACCAAAATAAAAATTGCAATTCTCAAAATTTCCGCTAGAGTGGTTACAACCAGATGCAAACGACGAAGAATCTTGTTCGCAGTTTGTCGATGAGATGGCCGTTTCCTTATTAAGGACTGAATTCGATATTATTTGGACATAAAAAAACGTTCACTATTTGCAAAACGTTTATAATAAAAATATAAAAAAATTACGACACGTGAAAGAACACTTGACAATTACTAATAATGCATTATTTTATCAAAATTAAATCCCATACCCAAAAGCTCGTACTTTTCGTTTTACATATCTCATTAAATTTTGTATAGTCGTATTAGTAACAGTTATTTTATATTTTTTACACATTATTTTCATTGTTTCTGCACTTTTTGCTTCTTTTTGGGATTTCTGGAGATTTCTTTTGATTATAGCCCAGTACCGTTCAATCGGGCGTAACTCTGGGCAATTAGGTGGGTTCATATTTTTCGGTACAACATTCACTTCGTTTTCCTCATATCAATTCATAACATCTTGAACATAATGACATGTGGCCAAGTCATGCCAAAGCAGCGACTGTTCTTCATGACTTTGAAGGAGAGGTAAAAGTCGCTTTTGAAAACATTATTTTCTGTAAATTTCTTTATTCATAGATCCTACTGTTACGAAGACGTCACTCCGTTTTCCTCAAGTGCAGACTGCTTGCCATATTAAGAATTTCTTTGCAAACTTAGCAATTTTTTTTGTTTGTACTTTGGGTCTACATCCAGTTTATTGACGGCTGTATAATATTCTTGGCCACTGATTTGTTTAAAGTCTCCTTTGACAGAAGTTTCATCGTTAATAACAACGCATTTTGATTTTATCAAAAATTGGGTGTACAATTTTCGACTTCGAGTTTTGGCGACCAAATTTTGTTTTTCACCATGATTAGGGCATTTCTGTACTTTGAATGGCTTCAAATCTTTTCTTTACTTAGTTTTTTGTACAAAAGAATGTGACACATCCACCTTCTTTGCTACATCTCTAATTGATAAATTGGTATTTCTTCGAAATGCTTGTACAACTTTTTGAGCATTTTCTTTCGACACAGGACCTGGTCTTCGACCAGCTTCTGGTTTGTGGTCAATGTTCAAACATTCGCGAAAATTTTTAAGAACATTTGAAACCGTGGAATGACCGACACCTAGTAGTTTTCCTATTGCTCGATGTGACATTTGTTTATTTTGTGAATGGGTGCGCAAAATATCTTTACGCGCTCTTTTTTGATTTTGCTGCATCATTTTAAACTAGGAAAGAAACAACAATTATAGTTAAAGAATATGACAGCAAATACTTTGACTTCACTGACTGTCAAATTTGACATGTCAGGGCACTCCATGAAAAAAGTTGCGGGGACTTTTGTTTGTCCAAATAATTTCGAATCCACTCCTTAACAGCATTCAGTTCAGTTGCAGTCTTAAATTAAACGATTTTCCAAAAACCGTCACCAAAGATTGTGATGACTCTGCTACATGCAATGCCATCACAAGCCACCCACTCTATAGACGTTCAACGCACGTGCATTAGACTTGTAATACTAGACGTACGCTCCCCCTGGTGTTTGGGAGACGAAGTTATCGAAGAAATTTTAAATGCGCCACTTCAAAATAACTCTGATATTTGTTTACACAAACAGACTTATGAAAGTCTGTTTGCAGATTTTTAAAAGTTTGTTTGCAGGATTCGCAAAAATATGGGAATATAAATAATAAATTCGTTATATAGAACACTTTAATATTAATAATAATAAAAACATCAACAATAACAATAAAAACATCAACAATAACAATAAAAACATCAACAATAACAATATAAACATCAACAATAACAATAAAAACATCAACAATAACAACAAAAGCATCAACAATAATAACAATAAAATAATAAAAGTTAAAAGATTTTTTGCCCCTTCTCTATTCTTTTCTTACGTTGCAAATAAATTTGTTTTGCTTTTTGCTTGGTTGCGTCCGTTGTTGCAACGGGCCGGGTGTCTTTGCCTGTCAAAATTCGATTCACACATTTACACCAGTGATGTATGATTGTCCGATGAATTATTTTTATTATTTTTGGAACAAGTTCCGATTTGTGTTGTTCACATAAATAAGAAAAATTTATGTTATTTATTATATTTTTAAAATTTTCCTGTAATCAAGATTTTTTCGTCCCATATATTTTCACCGAGTTATTAATAATTTGCAACATTTGCAAAAATGTTGCAGCGAAATTTTTACTGGGAAAACACATTCTGCTGGCGAGTGTATATTGTCTTTTCGCAATTAACAAATTGGAATTTTGTTCTGCCGAACCAAACATCACTTCAATACATGTGGGGCAACTAAGTACTTGTTTTTTTAGTTTTTTTTAAATAAAACCAGCAACACAGTTGGTAGATAATTCATTTAAATCAATTTGAATTAATTGTTCGCCCAATGTAGCGTGTTCCACTTTTGGAGTTTGTTCGTTTTCTATATTTA